ACATAGTTTTGCCTTCCATGTGTAGGTCCTCAATCCATCTGTAGTTGATTTTGCACATGCAAACCAGAAGACTTATATAAAAATGTTTATAGTACAATATTCATGATAGCGAAAGCTGGAAATAACCCAAATATTTCTTGCCAGTAAAATTGGATGCATAAATTGGGGCATAGGCACACAGTGTAATGCTGTGCAGCAGTGAAAATGCATGAACACAGTTACATGCTTCACCATGGGTGAAGCCCAGAAATAGTGTTGCACGTAAGAAGCAAATTGCAGGAAAAAATACATAATTCCATTAACTTAAATTCCAAAAGTTAAAAAAAACGTTAAAGTTTAAAAACCTAAGTGGTTTAGGAGCTATAAAGAAAAGCTGTAAAGAAAAACAAGCTATAAAGAAAAGCAAACTACTGCTCATCATCAAGTTGGAGCGGTGGCTACTCGGGAGGAAGGGAGGCGTTGTGAACAGGGTGGTCAAACGGGCTTCTGACGTGCTGGGCAGTGTTGTCCTGCTCCGTCTGGTGTCTGTGCATGAGTGTTTGCTTATTCGTCACGCTGTCTGACATACTCTTTGGTACGATTGGTATGTTTAAACAAATACGAAAAAGCAACCAACCACTCAGAACCTGCGGCTCAGAGAAGTGAAATAACTGCCCAATTGAGGGCGTCTAGCTGGAGCGTGGCAGAGGTGTGGTGGTGAGGTATCCCCACTTTCTGATTCCAGATCTCATGCTTCTTATACCACACGTGTCCCACAGGAAAGTAGAAGTCTGGAACATAGGATTTCAGGATGCAAAAGGGCCTCCCAGGCATCTAGCACAACCAGCCGTGACTTTGGAGGGCAATTCCATGTTTCCCCACGGCAATAACATCTATCTCATGTTCTCTCATAGGGTGCTGGGGGATTAAATGCGTCAATACGCATCTAATGCCTGTCACTGACGCTAAGCTTAGTTGGCCCCACTGTCGACTCCCGGTCTCAGCTGATCCCTTGGAAGAAATTCTGAAGAAATACCCAGCTTAGCCAGTCTTGTAGTGATTTATTCACTGGGATAGACGTGTACTTTGAAACCTTTTAGTTAGCTTGTCCCTTCAATCTTGCTTATCTTTCAGGAGTTATTGGCTGCGGATACTTTGATCCTTGTAGAAAGTTCAAACCTGAAGTGTGTGAGATGATTGTGAAATTGGTCTCCGTGGGCAGAGTGCTATGGCAATGGACTAAGGTACAAAATGGTTTGTTGTCAGTAATAAAAAAAAAAGTCAACGATCATTCAGCCTCCGTTTTCACCTCATGGCTCATTAAGTTATCATAACATCATACAATAGTGGTGTTTTTTGGAAAAGACAAATTAGGTGCTCAAATAGATTTATGACACCTTTTCCTTCTAGGGAACAAATATTCTAGCTAAATGATGCTTTCCATATGTATGAGGTATTACTGTAAACCAGACACGGTGTCCAAGACAAAGTAAAATTTTGCTGAAATAAGAACACTGCTTTTCCACTGTAACTCTGATTTGTAACTCCCTCCACCAAACTGTGTCAGAAGCTCAAATGCTTACTGACTGACTTAATACATGGATTTCTAGGTATTCTCTGCTAACGAGGACTTGAAGTCTGACTGTGCGTCTCTCCGAGGTGGAGTGTGAGTTAGTAGATGGGTGGAGGTGTTCTCCACAAAACAGGCTCGATTTTAACACACGAGTCAGTGCCCTAAGTAAAGCTCGGTGTGCTGGTGCCACCACGTACGCCATCAGGTGACGTAAAGCAGCACTCGTGAGAAGGCAATTAAGTGTGGGTCTGAGACAGAAAGAAGGTTGATGTATTTGTCAGAGAGCGGCGAAGAAGGTAAGGATTAGTCGTCATAGCTCACTGTTCATTCATTAGGGCCAAGTACACACGTGTGGGTGGCGCTTACCCCCTGGGAGACCGGGAGTGCGCCGGCCTTTCAGATTCCTGGGGGCACTGGGGGAACCCTAGATAACAGACTCATCGGAAGAGGAACTGGGAGCTGCTTATGAGATGCTCTTCCACGCAGCCTCCTGCAGTGAGCAGTCCCTCGCGTGGGGCCCTGCTCCTGGAGACACAGGGTCTTTGCACATGCCGTCCTGCGTCTTTTAAAAAAAACTCAAAAATGAATGGCAGGGTCTGAACATCTGAGATAATTTTCTGTGGAAAGATCCACCTGTTTTCCAGTAGTGCATTGTTCAGTTTCATGTGCTTTCATGCGTATTTTCTGAAAAGCTTTGGCCTTCCAGGTGTCTCTCCGTCAGAGTTTCTTTTGTTACCTGAATGTTTACTGGCCCTACTTCCTCTTTCTTGACCTCTTTAGCCCACTTTGCACAAGCTTTCCTTTCCAGTGCTCTCGTCAAGGTCACCAAAGACCTCAGTCTTGCCAAATCACAAGGTTAATTTTCTTCTTCCTCGTGCTTGATTTTTAAGCAGCTTTTGACCTAAATGATCCTTCTAAGCACTTTCTTCACTTGGCTTCAGAGGGTGCTCATACTCTTGGTTTTCCTCCTGCCTCACTGGCTACCTTTTTAAAGTTCCCCCTCTTCTTCCCCTCCTCTAAATACTGGAATGCACCTGGTCTTGATGCTGGGCCCTCCTCTCTAGCTAGTAACACATTCTTGCCTGGGGGCTCTCACCTAGCTTCCGGGCTTTAAACACCATCTCTGTGCTGACGACTTCAAAATCAGTGCCTCTCTGCCTGGCTCCAGACCGATTTCTAACTGCTTAGTAGACATTGCTGTTTTGATGTTTAATACTCATCTCTAAGTTAACATGTCCAAACAGAACGCTTAAATATCCTTAAATATGACCCTCCCTCAGACTATTGCGTCTTGGTTAATAGCAACAGCAATTGTCCTGCTTCTCAAGCTAAAAAAACCAGGCTCCACCCTTCATTTGTCTTTCTCATCGCCTGCACACAGTCCATCAGCTAGTCTCAGAGACGGCACCTTCAAAATGTGTCTCAAAGCCGAGCACTCCTCGCCGCCCCAGGGACCGCCCTGGTCCGTGCTCCTGTCACCTGTCCTCTGGACCGCGCGGTCTTCCTACTCCTAACCATCCTCCTTGCATTATTCTTGTCCTCCTGGAGTCTGCTCTTTACTCAGTCCTGGAATGATATTTTAAAAAAGTAACCCAGAGGTCATTCTTCTTTCTTAAAACCACCAGTAGATTCCCAGGTACACTCACGGTAAACCCACACTGAGCTGGCCCTGCTCACCTCCCTCCCCACTGCGTTCTGCCCGACCCGGGTGGCCAGGCTTGTCCTTGCTGCTGGGCCCTGGCACTTCGTTCGGCTCATTTTCATTCTTCTTATTTTCAGGGGGACTTTCCCCGATTGTCTTCTAAAATAACTGCCATGTCCCTATCTCAGTCATTCTCCATCTCCTGACCCTACTTCATTTTTTTATTGTGGCTTTTATCATTATTATTTGTCTGTTTGCCTGTTTATAAATATATTTGTTTCCTGTTTATTCCCAGGCTCCCCCCAGAACGGAAGCTCCTTTGACGGTAGCAGATTTAGCTGTCCTGTTTACCGTGGTATCTTCTTAAGAGCAGTGGCAGGTGCTCAGCCACTGAAAACTGAATGACTCCTCCTCCCCTTCCCACCCGCAGATACGCAGCCTTCTTCATATCTCTTCAAAACTCCCGTCTTCACAAAGCACTCGATCCATGCATGCCTTGTCTGGCACCCCAACTTTGTATCACTTTGTGTAGCTTTAAAGCAGAAGCAGGCGACAAAAGAAAAAGGTGACAAAAAGCAAAGGGAAGTATTAGAAGAGAAGGAAGGAAGCAGGTTAACAAATTATGTGAAGAAGAGGGAAAGAAAGGAATTCTTTTTACAGGTTCTCTTTAATGACTGCTAATGGCTGCCATCATAGCTGTAGTCTTTTACCATAAAGAAAAAAA